GGTTTTGTTTGTTTGTTTGTTTGTTTTAAGGTTTGGAGGGAGGAATTGGTAAAGAAGGGAATTATTTATTTCAAATCCACAGGGTGTTAACACAAATTTCTGAGCTTCCTCAGGCTTCTTCTCATACAACTTAGTCTAGCAATTACATCTTTTGAATGTTAGATTATGCTTAGAATACAGGCTGTGCAATGATATACACATAGAATTTAAGTAAAATTAAAACTTTGGGATGATTTGTAAACTGGCTTGCTCGAGACAGAGTAGCTACTCTTAAATTATGTAAACCCATTTTCTTTTAAACAAAAACCTGAATTTTTTTAAGAGAGTTTTTTGCTATCAGGTGCATGCATTTGCCAGAGACAGAGAGACAGAAAGCGAGAAATCACCCCCTGGAGGGATGGCCACTCCACAATCCTTCTCCTCCATTCTCCTTTCAGAATTTTGGGCATGCGCACACATCTTCCGGTGTGAGGTTTAAGTTGCAGGGTTTAGGACTTGAACCACAGTGACTATGTGGAGTTCAGCGATGTAACTATTATGCTATCTGCTTGTCCCAATACCTGAAATTTTTAAAAGAGGTACAAGACTGATATTTTTTTTTCTTTCCAAAGTATAAAATATAAAATCAAAACATACATTAAAGGGAATGAAAGTAAGGTCTAGGCCTTCTCACTTGTAGAATAAAAAAAAAATCATCTAACACCTTGATAAAATTTATGTTCCTCATACAATAACTTTGTAAAAATATGTTTTATTGAGAATTTCCTTTGTGTCAGATACTATAAAAAGCACTGTCTATGCATTTTCTTATTTAACCATAAATAGCTATTTTACAACGTAGACAATATTATAAAATTGCATGTTATAGTGAAGAAACCGAGTTTGGGATACAGCAAGCAACTTGCTCACGCACTTGAGATTGAATTTAGAAAGAGAGAGTAACGAAAAGGAAAGAAAAGCGAACGAATGGAAATTCTTCCATCCCCCAGAGGTTGTAGAACAAAGAGACAAGGTACTGGGAGTGGAAAATGGGCAACTCAGGGATTGGGAGGTCTACTGTCCAGTTTTTGGTCCTTTTTCTTTCTTTCCATGCCCTGTCCAATATAAAGCAAGGCCATGGTCCAGAAGAGAGAGAGAGGAGTCAGTCTCAGAATCCCTCAAACTTCCTATAATGAAGAAGGTAACTCTCCTTCCACTCTCTGTCTCACCAGAACTATCCCCTAACTGCCCACAGTCCTGTACCAGCACCTGGTAATGTTCACATGCAAAATAAAAACAAAGTTATGAAGTTGCATCTTTTTATCTCATTAGTGAAGCAGGTAGCTATGACAGATGACTCCTTTATCTGCTTGTCAAATACAAGATAACAGGATTATCCTTGATGGACACACTATATACACCATTACTAGCTTTAACACATTGAAATATTGGGTCCTCTACCCCCACTTCCATAGACTTTGGGGACACCCAGACCACCTCATACTCAGGCAGCAAAAGGGTTAATTCTGGCTCTGGAGAACCAAGTGTCTTCAGGATCCTGCTCTGGCTGTTACTGGCTTCCTGTCTGTTGTGATTGGGTAGTGCTTTTGACCTTCACCCTGAGACCAAGGCAGCTTCACCTGACTTTTACAGGTAGCCAAAGACTTACCATTTACGCACAGCACTGCCTTCTAAGTGACATCTTCCATTCCAGACAGTGATCAGGACAACCTGACCATTGATTATAATCACTTGAGGAATAAGAGATCATCTCTCCACAATCCTAAATAGCCCCACAGCCATCATTCTTAAATGTCCCATTCCGTGTTATGCTTTTTTTTTTTTTTCCCGCTATAGGGCACGTGCGCTCGTCAGACAGACAGAAAAAGACATAGAGACAGAAAGCGAGAAATCACCCCCCAGGGGGGATGGTCACACCGCAATCCCTTCTCCTCCATTCTCCTCTCAGGATCTTGGGCACGCACGCACACACGCCCGAGTCCAGTACCTTAACCACTAGGCCACTCACTGGCCTGAATTCTGCAGCTTTTAAGTGCGATCAGATATTTAAGAGATTTTTAAATTGTTTCCAGCCTTTACTGTTCTTCTGGACAAGTCAATGGGAATGCCTTCCTGAGACACGGGGCAGCAGGTGTTTTCTGAAATCAGTATCAAAAAGAAAAGCACAGGAGTCTCCCCTGCTCAAAGACATAAAGTTAAATTAGGTGGCTTCTCCATAAATTTATTTTCTTTCCTTTTTTTAACAACTCCACTAAAAGCACAAAAACAAAAAGCATTGTTTAATTATTTCATATAAAGAGTTCAAAAGAAATGAATATGAATTAAGCTGGTCTGGGCATCAGGAGCCCTTCATAAAATATTCCAGAAGATCTAAAAATGGCCCATGATACTGTCATTGAGGACTACGTATCTCTAAGGTGGAATGTAATAATTAGATAGCCTCCTCAAAATGAAAACAGATTTAAAATAAATTCACAAACCAGGAAAAAATTTATACAGGCCAAGGAGACCGTGCTATAAAGTCTGTGATACTTTCCAAGTCTGTTCACAAACCTTATTCTAGTGGTTTTCCCAGTGTGGTTCATGCAGCAAGACATGCAGCATCTGCATCACCAAGACCCTCTGAGAAATGCAGGCTCTCTCATCCCCATTCCAGACCTTCTGAATCTGAAACCCAGCAATCTGAGTGTTGCCAAGCGCTCCAGCTAGTTAAGAGAAATACTTGTGTGTGAGAACTGCAACTTTATTCTGCTGTCTCCTCCCCACTACAGAGAACAGAGGGTGAAGACAAGTTTTGCACAAGTAACAAAAGTTCCAAGAGCCTAAATGATTTACCTAAAGTCATGCACCTGACTGGTGAGAAAACTAGCAGGGAAACACAGACTTTGACTCAAGATTCAGTTCTCTTTTGCCTTCAGCATATTATCTCAGTTAAATGCAATATAGTCAGATAACTTAACCTAGCTTGACTCTAGAAGGGCAAATATAAGCCAGGAAGAATAGAAGTGAAGATCCCTGAAGAGAATAGAGGAAACCTATGAAAATCTAAGTCCCAAGACCAGCAAGTGGCATGGTGGTTAAAGTGCTCAACACTCCCACATGGTCCACTGCAGTTGAGTCCTGGACCTGGTGGCTTGCTTTCTTGCTTTCCCTTTCTCTTGCTCTCTGTGTCTCACTCTGGTCAAATTAAATAAAATCAATGAATAAATAAAATGAAAATTAAAAAAAGAAAAAGAAAATCTAGGTCCCACATAGGCCACAGATCACCACAGAGACCCAGACAGCCAAAGAACTGCAGAATAGTTCGTCCTACTCCAGATAACGTGGCTTCTGGGCACAGTCTAGGTTTTTTTCTTTAAAAAGATCTGGGATTTCACTGGCCCTCTCCTTAGCACATATATTCTTGCCAGAGGACTTCCTCAAAAACTCACTAGTGCAATGCTCAGGAGTTCATTTTACCTTCTTCTCCTTCAGGTGGTGTTTGACTGTGGTCTCTTTATTATCACTCTTCATGCACCATTCACAATCTCTCTCATTGATGTTTTAGTCATTTTTGTCTCCTCTATCCAGCACATAAGGTCCGTAACAACAAGGATTCTGTCTACTTTTTTCACCACCCCATGGCCTAGTCTAACACAAGCTCTATGAGGTGAGCACAAAATATTTGTTACATAAATGCACATAATAAAAATCATCTACCTGGATATATCGCAATGTGCTTTCATCCAAGATCTTCATTCTCAAAGTGATATTGGCTGGTTTTTTTTTTCCCCAGACAAGGTATTATGGAGACTTATTTTACATACAGTTCAAATCATTGTATAGAAATCCAGAGCTTCTGCTGAAACTCATTGTGTGTTTGCATGCATGCATGTGTGTGTGTGTATGTGTAAAGTCTCTTTCTCTATCCCTCCTGCCCTTTGTTCTCTTTCTCAGTAAATCTATTATCACCTTAGCTCTTATTGCAGGGTCTCAAGATGGGTAAGACTTTTATTCTTTTATTTGTTGTTGAATTGCATTTTCTTTTCTTTCTTCTTTTTTTGTTTTTGTCTTTGGCATGAAGTATTTTTTCCTTATTTAAATTTATTTTCTAGATTCGATTTCATTTACAAAAATGTCAGGTCTGGTTAGACTGGGACAGAAAAAAAGAAAAGTAAAGAAAATAGTGTAGAATCCCTGTTAAAAAGATTCATGTTTACATCCCCGCCTATAGCATTTAATAATTGGCATAAGCTTTCAAGGAAGCTGTGGCTCATTCTCCAAGTTCCGTTTGCACTTCCAGCTGGACAAAATATAGACACAGATGCACTCAGCTAAGTAATTGGATTCTCTACCTGGAATATTTAAATTGTTTTCAGACACTGGAAAATGGCTTAAGAAGATTAAAGAAAAATACCCTGGAGGATAACAGGCTATAATTTACTAGGTGGAAAATCTTTTCAGCAAGAAGAACAACTCATTCTCCTATAATTCCTCCTGATTAAGAGACGTGTTCGTCATTTGGACCTAAATTTCCTTAAAGCCTCATAGCTAAGGTTTATTCCAGTGAGTTGTTCTTATCAATGGTTTGAATGACATCCAGGGGAGAAAATAAAATTAAAAAAATAAATAAAACATACCATAATGTTCTCCATTGGAAGATGGAAATGTTTAAAATTGGATACTAACTTAAGTGTGTTGAAGGTAATTGGGGTGGGCAGAGAGAGGTCACTGTTAGTCCTGGGGTCTGGACTGCATACTACATATAAAGCACATACTATATATAAAGCACTTTTCCTGCAAAAAGTGCAGGTAAACCATGGGAAAAGGATCTTGACATCTATTTCCAGCTTAAGACTTTAGCCAGCTCAGTACCCCAAAACTAGCACTCCCCACTAGCCTGCAGGTGCACTGAGCCCTCCTTTGGCTCCTTCAAGGTCCCCCTTTCTGCTAACTAGCCTTCCCCAGGTGTGTCCTTCCCAGCCTTTCTCAGGGCCCCTCCCTCACTCCAGAGCCAGGTGCTGAAGTTTGGCATCAACGACCACCTGTCGGCTGGAACGCGGTGTCCTCTGCCGCGTGGGCTCCCTTAAAAGAGGTAAGAGGGTTAGAAATCACCCGTTTCGGACTTGGGGCCGTGGTATTGGAAAGGGAGCAGAGGAGCTTAAACGGTGGGTGCGTCTGTGGGCGGAGAGGGGCGCGTCTTGTTCACACCGGCGCTTTCCAGCTGGTACCAACTTCACACTCCCCACTTTCCAAACTCTCCGAACCCGTCGCCAGGCAAATCCTGCCCCTCTTGATCCATTGGACCAAAACATTTTAGACTTTCAGGGGCGCTTGCCAGACTCTGAGAGGATGTTAACAACTGAGCCTCAAGGACACAGGAGAGCGCCCAGAGCGCCTGCCCTTTGCCATCCGCCCTGACAGATGCCAACCTGTGCGCCCCGCGGCCGCCCCGGCTCGCTCCCAGAGCGCCCATTGCATAATGCGCCCCTCGCCCCACCCCCACGCCGCCCTCCCTGCCCCGGTGCCGGGACCAGCACCCCAGCCTGGCCGCCCTAGTACTTACATCATCCCACTTGACGAATTTGGTGCCCTTCTTGAGACTGTCGGACACGCACACGGGCTTGAGTTGCAAGGCGTGCACTCCGGGTTGAGCCCCAGCCATCTGGGCTCATCGGGGCTCCGGGTGGCCCGGGCGAGCGTGTCAGGGAACCG